TAAGCAGCTTTAAATTTATTGACCCAAAGTGTAGTGATTTCAAATGATTTAGGAAACTGCCTATATACTGGCAGGATGTTCTTCGCTCTTCGAACTCAGTTCAGGGTAGTTGCAGCTAATGAAATAAAAATGAAGCATATTGTGTGCTTGAAAAAAGTATTCGGAATGGGAAATTTGCGTAAGAGAGGTGTTGCAATGGAAAACTAAAAGAAGATGTATTTTAATGTAAATATATGTTAACCGTGAGGCTACAAAATTCTTTTCTTTGCAAATGTCTTTTCCACAAATACGTTATGAAGTGTAGAGGTATAGGCTCAATATTTTTTAGATAATTTATTATTTCATTATTTATCCTAAATAAATATTAAACTAATATAGTTAATAATGTGTCATAACATTTCCCTAAGCTCTTTCGTACTCGCCCCATTGTCCTGAGTAAAAGGCACGCGCCTTATAGCAAACAGGAAATACCATTTTTTAAATGAACTTCCTTTCGAAACAATCTGGTGTACACTCAAATCAAAACAATCCACTAAACTCCTTTTATAAAATACACATAGACAGACACACACACACACACACACGAATGCATGATATTGTGTTCGTTCTTTACATCTAGTCCGAAAGAAATCTCATTATACAAAAGAGTTGAATAATGACACAAGCATTGGATTTAAAGGATAAGAAATCACTTCAATATTTTTATGTTGCAATATGTTGCGTTGCTTTCATTCACATCGAATGAAAACTTTTAAAGTTGAACAAGTATATTTGTACCTCCCCATCCCATTTGTTTATGCAAGTAAGCGTACAAATCCTTTTCAAACATTTTTAATGTACATTTCTCTCACATTCCTCTCCTCTCCGATTCTTCCTCTCTCTCTCTCTCTCTCTAATGCTTTTGTCCTTTGCATGATATTATCACTTTAGAAAAGATTTTTTGAATTAAAAATGGCCTTTAAAGGATAGCAAATTTTCAATGTTATTGCTGTGGCTTATAAAATGTGATGATTTGATGTGCCCTGAGAGTGTAACCCTTTTTTTTGTTTTTTTCTTCCCAAAAATTTTCATATGCTTGTTCATTGCTTAAACACGAAATCCATATTTTAAAAGCATCTCTTACACACATATTGACAAATCCATGTTAAGGGGTTGCAATCAGCCATGAATGGAATGAACAGTAACAACAATAGCGTCAATAAATTTATTATTTAACACAAAACGGTTTGTTTGTCAATTTGTTAAATAGATTTCATGTGAACCTTAACTCACCAATTCCACCATATATAGGTGGAAATGTTTTAAGAGAACTTCAAGAGCGCGAATAAAAGTGCACTTCTCAAAGTCTACGGGTTAGTTTTTAATCCCATACACGTATTGCATTGTTACGAAAATGCTCAATTTTCCGAAGCCACCTTTTGCCGTTAATCGTAAGCTTCAGGTTAAGTCAAACCCGAATCATAGAGATTTAATTATCATATCATTGTTTATAATTTTGTCTCGCACAATTTATGCTTTATGTGCATTTAAAGTCCACTACTAAGTTGCAATATGTGATCTGATTGCGGCATGCAAAGCTTTTTCGTCAAATTAATGTACACTGCAAATAGATGAAGTCTGTGAAGCATTGAGAATTGCAACCAGTAATATTTTCTAGCAGGCTCCTGGTTAAGGAAGCGGAAGGAAATCACTATGCTATTTGCTAGACCTTAAAGTTGTATATATGTACAGTACTTGCCAACTCGAATTGAAGCAGCTTTAAAACACGTAAAAACGCTGCAGTTGTCCACGGCACACCATTCCACATTTACTCATTAAACAACTTTTCAAAATAAGGCGTTATATGTAAAGCAGTCGAAAACGTGCTCTGATCCGAATCAATTCTCAATAGGGTTCGTCTTTGGACTAAAACATGTCGGCGAAACAAATTTCAGCAAAATGTCTGAAAAAAATTCGTTCCCCGCTTTTCGATGTTTTATCTTTTATATACTTTTATGCATTTTCATCACATTCTTTACATATTACAGCATTTTGTATTGCACGCTTTCCACATACGTATTTTTTACATTTTATACAAATTTTGTTTGTTTTGTTGACTGTCAACAATATCTTATTTGACAAGATCTCCGTGCAGAAAATGCGCATTCTTGGCTTATTTGTTCCTCTTTCCGATATTCGGTCCCAAGTTCTTCGGCTAATTGAAATAAAAACTCTTGCCTCGATATTTCCCCAACCGTCATTTCTTTATATAAAATCCAAGAATTTATCCCGACTAAATCGAAGACATGGAAAAATACCTTTAAAGGCCACCTTTGACATTTAGATTTTACAGTATATTTTCTGGTCATTTGATCGGTTACATCTACACCGAATTTTGTACAATTGTAAAATCTAATTGTCTCTGGTATACGGGGGTCATTTTTTTCAATTTCAACGGATGAACGCATTGAACTACGTATCAATACTTTTTCAGTGGGTTTAGCTTTATAAATTGTAAGAATAAAATCTTTCGATTTGTATAATATTGTTGAGAAGCGTGTCATACTATCCTTTGCCTGTCTCGCTAACCAGTTCCAACAAGCGTAGTTCTTCTTGCTAGAAGTTTACTCGCTAGTGACGCGCTTGTAAAAAAATTGTCAACTGGCTCGTATATGCTTCGGTTAATTTCAAACTTACAAACTCTCCAAGTGCGATTGACGATTCCCTCCCTTCATCTTTTCTCAAATATGGAAAGCAGTTTACTATATATTTACTACTTACATCGGAAACTAACCAGAATTTCATACCAAATTTGTCCGGTTTGTTGGACTTGTATTGAGTAAATCTACAACGTGCTTTTGGAGGAAACAGTTGTTCATCTATAACAAAATATGCTCCTGGTTTATAAGAGTTTTGACTGTTTTCGATAAATTTATACCAGCGTTGGCTTAGTTGATTTTTGTTGTCAAATCGAATAAATCTCACGATTTCTGCGAAGTCGAGAAAAACGACGGACCCCATTTCGTGTTCCATAAATATGATAAATTAATATTTTAAGCCTCATTTGCGCCGCGTACATATAGAAGTCCAATAAATGCATATAATATTGCATTAGATAAATTCCGTTTCGTTTTCAACACTCGAAAAGCCTCTGTCTGATTCCTTATATTCTCTTACATGTTCAATCATTTTATGATCAATAATCAAAGAAAATGCTGAAAATGCTCTGCCCTTCATAATATTTCGTTCAACGTATCCTGTCGGTCCTGATATTTCCTTGAAAATATTACAAATTGATGTTCTTCCACTGTTAGATCCTTCTTTTATTTTTTTCCAAACAGTTTCGTTCATAGCAGTTTCAATTTCTTCCTCATTTGTACTTTCGGAACTAACTATAAATGTCTTTATTTCCTGTCCTCGTCGTATATTCAAAATTTTCTCTTCGTCCGTATCACTGTCAAATAAGTCACAATAATTTTCTGCAGTATCATCATCAATATCGTAAACTTCTTGATCATCTTCCGAATAATCGTCGTCGATATTATTTATTTTGTCTAATAAATTGATAAATTCCACGAATGTCGGATGCATTGATTAGATTGTAGATTGTCTACAATTATATTGTAGACTCGTAAAACAATTTCAAGAACGCGATTATCGAAGAATATAGTCGTAAATAACATAAATTTTTCAAACGGTCAAATGACCGCTCGTGGTAGATTCGACATGGTACAATTTGTTTTCGGAAAATACACATTAAGAAAAGTTGTAAATATTGAAAAATAGGTTGTATGTATATTTTTTTGGAAAAGTCAATAAGATACAGTAACGTTGTATGCGTGAAATTTCAAAAACGTTTATTTGACCGCGCCTGGTAGGTTTAGTGTTAAAACATAAAAAACGTGTCTTGAAATTTTGGTGAAGGTGAAGATACCTCTACGTTTCTCTGAAAATGCATACAGTCTCGCTGCCCTCCACAAGTGGGCAGTGCGATTAAAGAAAGGCAAGTCGAGTTAGTGTGTCGCAGGCGATGTGACGTGCAAGCAAGTCCAGGACAAGTGGATGGGAGCGCTGAGAGAGCCTTGTTCTTCTGATATAGGATCTGCTTACCTCTGTAGAATAGCTTTTGTTAATTATTTTAGCATATTTTTAGGATTCAAGTGTTAATGCCTTCGTACAATGGCAAAAATCGATAGTGTGACTGGATTTAGTGACTATAATTTTTGGAAAATTTTAAAGTACACTTTTGAATACTTACTCATATTAAAGATGCGTGCAATTATCATTGAAATTGAGCTTTGCAAAAAAAAAAACAGTCTGCAGATAATTTTTTCATTTTCATACAAGTTTTATTTAAATTATATACAATAACATCAATTAATTGTCATTTGATTTATAAATTCACTTAATTTATAAAATCAGTATATACTTGTTGTACAACAGTTATTTAACTTACTTTACTCGCTAAATGGAAAACTAATTTATATTACGCATGCACTAATATAGATTTGTGATCGTATATCATGTTGTGTTAGTTTGATTAGGAACTTTAGGTAAATGCTCTTATTTTTTTATTTTTTATTTTTTGATTAAAAGTATAACAACACATTTGGTTAATGAAATTAAATTTATTTACAAAAAGTTTCGAAAAGAAAGAAACATAAAGGAAAAGGAAAATGACTCAGAAATGAAATGGAAGTGTAATGATGAAGAGTTTTGATCTTAAAGGCTAATTGTCGCTTATCCTAATTAGATATATAATAATTATTTAGTATTTTTTTTTTTTTTTTTTTTTTTTTTTTATTAATAATAAAAAAAAATTTTTTTGGTTGTGTTTAATGTTGAATTTTTTTTTGTTTATTTTTTTTTTTTTGGTGTTTTCTTTTTTTTTTCTAAAATATTTTGTTAATACACAAAAAATTTCAATGAGGTGGCATAGCCCCCCAAGGCGTTAAGCTCGTAGTTTTATAATAGGAATCATGAGCCATGTACCAAACGGCATTTGAGGTTAAATTTGTTTCCATAAAATTTTGCATTGGACTTGTATTGACCGGTGCGGTGGTGTCTGCAATTGGTAATTTATTGTTTTGCTTAAATTTTCCATAACGATATGTAGTTTCTTTGGCATCCATATAACCATTTTGCCCACATTCATCATGGCCGTACCAACATCATTCTGGCTGTTTGCTACCCACACAAAGCGGAGATAAGGAACTAATTGAGCTACCACATAACGAAGAGGATGCCTCGAGGCCATTGCTAAGATTGAGTGATGTTTGAGGGGGATAGCCGAAGGTATGGCTACTAAGCGGTGTGCCGGTGGGACTATCTAAATCGGCGGAGGGATTTGTTCTCTTTTCCTTTTGACGTCGATTACAAAACCATACCCTCACCACTTCTTTATCCATATTTAATTGATCGGCTAGTTGATTTATTTCTTCCGAGGTGGGCTTACAATTGATCATGAAAGCTTTTTCCAAAGTTGAACGTACCGTCGTTTCAATCGAAGTGCGTTTTTTGCGACGCCGGCACATTATATTGTCGGATGGAGTGCCCGCATTGGCAGCCAAAGCGGTTAAATTGAATATACCCCCGGGCTTAACGACAGTCGAATCTGCATCTTCTAGCCATTTCTGCAGCAATGGTTTCAATTTACACATATTTTTGAAACTAAGGTTTAAAGCCTCGAATCGAGAGATGGTAGTTTGGGAAAAATCATTGCCATATAACTTTCCCATGGCTAGGCCAACATCGCCTTGGGTAAAACCCAATTTAATACGTCTTTGCTTAAATGTTTTGGCAAATTGTTCAAGTTCTTCCAAATCCGTAGTCTCTTCAGGAGACTGATCTAGGTTATGAGGGGCACTGCTGATAGCTAAAGGGGTACAACTTTTAGAATTGTGAGGTGTGCTCGTGTAACTCAAAGCTGATTGGCTGAGACCGGTGCTGGCGAACGCAGGTGTCATGCCAGGAGTGTTGGGCGTCATAATAGCGCTGCTTAAGCCCGCACCAAGATTAGCTGAATTTGGCGGCGTTATATCAGGACCATGGTTGAGTGGCGGGGAGACTGTTACATTAGGCGTAGGCTCTTTGCTGCGATCAAGACGACTTACCGGGCTCAAGGAGGGACTTCGTAGAGGAGATTGAGTTTTTTTTTCAAGTAAGCTTTTGCTTAACATTTTCGTAAACGGTTTATGCTGCTGTAGCTGATGTTGCTCATGTTCCTGTTCCTGTTGTTGTTGCTGTTGTTTTATTTGCTGCAAAGCCTGTAATTGCAGCATGGCTTGCAGCGAATTTTGTAAAACGAATTGTGCAGCTGTTGGATTTTGCAATGTTTCAGGAGCAATCTGACGCATTACTTCCATATAACTTTGTAATTGCAGTTGGAAAGCTTGCTGCATATCTTCAGGATTTGCCGAAGACGTGTTATTTAACGCTCCGCCAAAACCCAACGGCGTCTGTAGCAGTAAAGGCGTTAAAGGATTGTGCAGGGCAGCTAACAGATTGGCAGTATTAGCGGCATATTCTTGGTCATCTTCCAATTCTGAAGTGGATTTCAACGCTTTGATCTGTAAATCAACTGAAGGAGAACGTGCTGGTCTTTTCGGAGAATTGCGTGCTAAATTTAAAACTTCACTTTCCAAATCGCCTTCTAATTCACGTGCCCGTTTCTGACTAACACTATTATTGGGCGTAGAGGAACGGTGACATTTTTCCAATTCGTCCTTGCGATCATCAAAATTTGTAATACAACCTGTAAAAGTTCAATTAACCAAAAAAAAAAAAAGAAAAAAAAGCAGGAAAAAAAAAGAAACGAGAAAAGAGAAAAAAGGAGGGAAGGAAAGTAAATTTTTCTACGAAAAAATTGTATTGAAAATCTTTAAAATTCTAATATAAAATATTCAAGATCTTCAACCCTTCATAATAGTTTATTGTAAAGTTGTTATGCATGGTCAGTGCAAGCTAACGAGAATCTGTTTTTGTGTCTGGCATAATATTTTCTTATTCAATCTTCCAATTGAGTGAGTAATTGGTTTTAAAAGTTGTTGAAGTGCACATA